GTTCGGTCCAGAGGCAGGTAGGTGTTTGTGGGTGGATAGGAAGCGGGTCAGTATATAATGCATAGGTGGTATATAATGCATGGAGACGAGAGCAGGTGAGTCGGGGTTATAGGAATATAATGCATAGGTGAGCGGGTGAGTCGATTCAGCTCATGATTGCTTACCAGGACGTAGAGCAGCAGGTAGGTGGGCGCAGCGTGTCGGAAGAAGTCCACAACGCTGGCTGAGCTGTCGTCCTTTGTCTAAGTTGGGTTTAATACAATTGTGTGAGTGGGTTTAACGCATGACTGTGTATAGAGTGGGTTTAATACGATTGTGTATAGAGTGTGTTACATGATTGTGTATAGAGTGGGTTACATGATTGTGTATAGAGTGGGTTACATGATTGTGTATAGAGTGGGTTACATGATTGTGTGTAGAGTGGGTTACATGATTGTGTATAGAGTGGGTTACATGATTGTGTATGGAGTGGGTTACCTGCAGCCAGGCGCCTCCGATGGACAGCCAGCTGACGGGTCCTTTCGCAGCCAGCCCGAGCAGATCGTTCGCGTCTTTCGTCCATCCCGCGTAGGCCACTGGGCTCTGCGCGAGCTGGGGGTTTAATGTACCATAGGGTGGGTTTAATAAACGTAAGAACCATAGCGGGGGTGGGTTTAATGGGTACCTTCTTGGCCTTGGCGCAGGCGATGAGGTCTGCGCAGGCGGCAGGGTCCAGGAAGGCCTCGATCACGTATACGTCCGGATCTGCGTGCACTCTCTTGAGGCCGGAGAACTGAGAGTTGATCGACATTGGCGGCCCAAGAGCTAATCGGTGGCCTCGGAGGGGCGGCCTTGGGGTGCAAAAGGCGTCGGCTGCGATCCACAACACGGCAGCGATCGCGACCTTCATGACTGTACACTTCATGACTAATCTCCTCCACAATCCTGCGCTGGGCTGGGCTCAGGTTCTCGCGTGATCCAGACAGATTTGGAGCTCCCGCCGAGCTTCAGAGAAGGAAGTGGGCTCGCGCGCAAGTTGATAGTGCACCTCTGCTGCGCGTGCTTGCACACAAACCCAAAATGGAAAATCCCGAGATTTCAGCGAACTCTGTTTGCATGTCCACGTATATTTGAATACGGAACGTATTACTGTTGCTGTAGTCTTTCCTCTTCTGCGTGCTATCGACTTGCGCTCATTAGCAGAGAAGGCTGCATCCACAACAATCTTCACCTGTTCACTGCAGCTCCATTGTTATATGTGTGTGTCACATAGGGTGGGTGGGTTTAATATGTGTGTGGTAGAGGGGGGGGGGGGGGTTAACATGTGTGTTTGGCTGAACAAATAATAATTACCCTACTAGTCCAGGGTACTCCTTGCAGTACATGGAACCTCCTGTTTGCTACAGTCTCCGAAGATGACGATCTCCGTGGTCGAAAGCAGCTGGGGTCTTCTCCCCGCAAGATATCCACCGAGGTGGGAATTAGCCCATCGGTGGCAAAAAGAGTCAAAAAAAGTTTAAAAAAGAATCAAAAGATTGACCAACGTGGGACTCGAACCCACAACCTCCTGTTTGCTACAGTCTCCGAAGATGACGATCTCCGTGGACAGGTGCGCTATCCAATTACGCCAGCCACCGCGGTGTGTGAGGGGTGTGAGGGGTGAGGGGTAAGGTGAGAGGGGTGAGGGGTGAGGGGTGAGGGGTGAGAGGGGTGAGAGGGGTGAGGGGTGAGAGGGGTGTGAGAGAAAGAGGATGGGAGGGAGAGGATGGGAGGGAGAGGGGAGTAGAGGGAGAGCTACCTTGTTGTAGAAGACGGCCTCCTTCTGGTCGTAGAGCATGCGCGCGCTGCCCTCTACTATCTCCACGTGCGAGGCTGGTCCTGTCGCTGCTGAAACGCCTGTCGCTGCTGCTGAAACGCATGTCGCTCCTGATACGGAGGCCATGGTTCGAGACAAGATAGGTGTGAGATCGAGGCGAGGGGAGCGTTGAATTTCCAGCCGCGAGAGGAGTCTCCACATATAGAGAACAGGCCGGAGAATGTGCTGGGGGCGGTGCAGAGGCAGGGGAGGGCTTCAAGACAGGAGGGCAGAGAGCAGATCCAGACGAGCCTGCAAAAACACGGGAAGGGGTGACTTGGCTTGGGTGGAGCTCGCGCCATTTCCCTCCTTTGCACGCGTCATTGCATTATATTCATTTACGTTTTCCTAGTTATCATCAATTGGCCGGCTGGCGTAATTGGATAGCGCACCTGCCTACGGAGATCGTCATCTTCGGAGACTGTAGCAAACAGGAGGTTGTTTTTTTGAGTCCCACGTTGGTCAATCTTTTGATTCTTTTGCAAACTTTTTTTGACTCTTTTTGCCACCGATG